GACATGAAATTTTCAGCAAAATTATAATTCAGATACTCCTTTAATGATTGATTATTCTCATTAATTTTTGATCATTTTACATATTTTTCCATAGTATTACATTTGAATTTAACAGATCATTCTCTCACATAACAGACACATTTTTGTGAAATTATGATACATTTCTGAATGTATTTTTACAAAATGTATATATGCATATTACTTTTGACATGTAAAATCACAGTCTACTTATGTAAATTTAATGATATTCTAGAAAGACAGTACAAAACTGTAAAATATACAGTAAGATACTTTGACATTACTATTTTTTGGAACAGTGTACCTACTCACACCTCCTCCACGGCCATTTCATGGCCCAAGTGCACTTCACTTTGTCTCAGCATCTCAACTCATCCCTCTTATGCGTTCTTTCTCTCTCTCTCAGACACATTTGCACCCTTGAAACATGATCTTGCAGAGCACCAGGTTTGTGATTTTTATGACTTAATTAGGGAAGCAGTGAGACGCGATCTGTTCAGATGTTTGTAAATTACTTAATGTGACTTTTACAGAGGCAGATGTAGATGAGGATGACTGGAGTTCTGTGATGTGGTGCAGACATTGATTACATAACACAGTACAACTGAACCACACCCATGTTCACCAGATCCCAGTTCACTTAACTGCATCGTGGCACAGCACGGAATGATCACACTAGTCACACGTACTGGAGTGTGGGGGGGTCTAATGTGTTTGGGCACGGTATGAATCATCTAGTGTTCGTATACACTTGCAGTGAAGTTCTCAGGTATTCTGGATGCATTTAATTGAGAGGCCACAGGCTAGGTAGACCACAGGCAGGTAGATGTCTACTATAAAGGGATGATCCCTCTTTCCAGGGAATTCTATGGGATTATTCAGCACTGGGATTCACAATATTTCAACAGAAAGAATATCTCCTGCAGAGCAAGTTGTATTTCATGTTGTTTGTAATTGTATTGTTGTCAGTGAGTTTCTTCAAGACCATTTTAGACCGCTAACCATGAAATCAATGGCAGAAAAGTCAAATTATTTGAAAATGAAGTGTTTAGAGAATTTAAAAAGATTTTAACACTATCTCAAATAATTCTGAGACTCATAGTTTTTGTTCATTTAGAAAGTTTAAACAATCAAAAGTACCTTTAAAGTGATTAAGAGTGCTTCCTTAAGCTTCATGGCCACTGTGAAAGGATTTATTTCTTTGGTAGAAAATAGGTACAGCTACTGAAAATGCTGAACGTGGGGTTTGTGAATTATTCAGAGTAATTTAGGACATTGTTTTCAAAGACAGAATCAGCTACACGGTCTTTCATTTCTAATGAAATTTTAATTAATTCTTCAAAGCTGCAAGTCCCCTGCTTTTGTGTGGGAGATGTAGTGTGAATCCACTCCTTAAAAATGGCTGAACAGATGTAAGGAACGTTGCTATTTTGGTTTGTATCACTAAGGTGACTGGAGAACTCCAGTAATCTGCAGTGAAGTGCTGCGTATGGCTGCCTGTTCAGTCTAATGAACAGCAGTCCCTGCAGACACACCGTGCGAGTTCTGCTCTTGATAGCAAAGACTTCTCCACACAGACCTTCAGCCTGAAAGACGACCGTGGGAGGCTGATTTCACTTCACCTCTCCATGCAAGCTGAAGAACACCACCGTGTATATGGGAGGACCACAGAAGAGGGCTGTAAGTGAAGTGGTTGGCACAGTTCACGCAGACTCCTCCAGCCATTTGTGTTGGCAGGACACGATGACAGCGTGACCCCCGTTTGCCTGAGAGAGCTCACAATGACGTAGAGGAATAACAAACAGCTACCTGCCTTGGCAACAGCACAGATGGATCTTAGCAACAGCTTACAGGGTCTAAGGAGTGTGTTCATGTACTAGTTGTCATATAGTAATGATATGTGCCATTTGTTTAGAACAAACTTTGAGAAGGTGATTTACATTATCGTTTTATTTGTCCTTTCCAACTGATGACTTTATATATATACATCCAACATCGATTCAGGAAACATCTATTTGTAAATCTGTGTGTATATAGCATGTTTCTTTATAGGTATAGCTGTAGGTAGAGCACAAGTCCTGCATTTAATTTCGCTTATAAATTGATTAAGTTTTATACTCAAAGTATTCTACAAAAGCAGTCAGTTGAAAATTAATGAGTTTGAGGGTAAATAAATAATTCACAGGAGGGCTTTTAGTGACCAACGTGGCTTCAGGTTTTGCTATAGGTTTTCAGTGTCATGGTGGTGGGATAGTTCCCACGGGGGAACACAGACAGGCTAACATATGAATGGCTGGGCAACTAAGCCTTGCAATTGCTGACCTTTTATAAAATTTGCAAGCAAACCTTTTTAGTAGTTTGAATGATTTTATATTTGCTGTTTGCTTGCTCTCATGTTAGTACTGCTAGGGTTGCCACAGGAGCAATACATTAAAGAAAGACATTAATTTAACACAAATACCAAACAACAGCTACATCTTCTCTTGATGTAATGATGGGGCACTGATGCTGATAAGCCTGTAAGTGACACAGTCAGCATTTCTGCCAGCCTTGCCTCCGGGCTTTAAATGGACTTTATTTATAGCACTTTTTCCAGTGCACTCATACAGTGCTTTCTAATTCTATACATATTGTACAATGCTTTTTCTTATCATGCACACTCACGGGCTGCTGCTTTGGCTACAGCAGCTGTGTTGATTTCAGCTTTTATTATATGTTTTTACCTTCGGTGGATTTTTCATATGTTATAGTTTGTTTGTTTTTTCATTTAAATTCTGCGACTGCTGCCAGTCCATATTTGTCCCCTTTTTAATCTGAACATGATCATAGCTAGAAATCCTAGATTCATGTGACCACTCCTGGCTTTGTTACACCAGAATAGAACAGCAACCTGTTTGCAGCTAGGACAAATTGATGGTTGCCCAGTGATTACAATTAATTTCTTCACATTCAGGAACCAGCTACAAGTAGTTGCAGGGATTCCTTTCAGTCTCAAGGTGATTGTACACATCAGCTGGTGGGAGGCAACCTGTCTCCAAACTATCATGGGGCAACTTGAATGCAATCTCTCTTGGACAAAGACTGGCAAAGGTTTGCATATAATCTTGTGTAACTTATAAATGCAGACTGATTGCGAACACACATCAATCAATCTGAGTCCATCTGCGCCAATGAGTGCAATTTGTCTGCGACATGTCTTTTTGCAACAGAGGACTTAAGTCAACAGCTTGCCAACTGATTGTATAGTAGTGGTTGGTGCTGCTCTCCCAGAGCATTGGGTAGGATTGAGGTTAGGGTTAGCACACTGGGAAAGGAAACATCAGCAACCCAAAACCAGCATCCCCAGAATGAAGTCTTCCACTCCTCCTGCTGACTCTGACTTCAGAAGTTTAATGCGAACTTCGTCATAAGTAGATGGCAACAGATTGGTGATTTTTGCCCATTTATCATAGTTAATTGCCATATTATCACAGACAGATTGCATGTAATTGCCAGCTTGACCCCATTCAGTCACAAATCTGCTCTCAGTCTGCCATCAGACTGACTCCGCCTTATTGCTGTTTTATTGCTGTCTGGACGCACCAGAGTCGCTTTGAAACAATTGACTGTGAGAGGTCACTTGTTCATTGCAGTCGCCAACAATTTTCTTTTCCAGTGTGACTGTAGCATAAAAAAGTTTAAAAGATGGATAATGGAAACAAGTTATCCTTAGACGACAAAAACTTTAACTCCTCAATGTATTTCTCTGAAACAATACTCTGAAGAAATGCAAAAATAAGCTTAATATTCTGGGGTGCCTGGAGTTTAGGAGTGAGTTGGTCTTTTAAGCTATTCAAGCTATTTCTGTCTGATCTTGCAGTGACTTGAGTCAGAGCGACACGGCAGACCTCAACTGGTCAGAGCTTAGAGTCTTTCACAAGTAGGGATGGGCCAGCAACCAGCTACCCAAAGCAAAATGTAGAATCTATTCTTGCGGATAAATTCGTGTGTATGCGAGTGGCTGGTCTGTGACTGTGGACCTTTCAGTTGGAACAGTATGGGCTGCCTGTTCTCTGGATTCTTTCTTTTGCCATGCAAGCCAGAGAGCTCTCTGCTCCTATTAGTCAACGTCACAAAACAAATTGTGGAGATTGTCATAGGAGGTCGAGAGAAGTTAAAAATATCAGTTCTGGCGGGCTTGTCTTTTTGTTAGAATGTCACGAGGTGTCTAAGACGTGGCTTCGGTGGTTGTTGCTACATGGGATAAAATGTATCCCAGGGCCCTATGCTTATTTTTGGACCCACTGCTCTACATCTTCTCAGCTTCCACTGTGTAGTCTGAACTTGGCATTAGCATCTGCATTATGTGTGCACTTTTTTTTATCTCGGCTTGAGAACATGTGATGCATATTTGGGAAGCCCCAGACAAATGCTGAGTCACTTTTACTGTCAGGGCAAGAGATTAATCCTTCACACTAAACTGACAGACACATCGCATCTTTTATTTCCCCTCTGTGAGCTGCTGACCTCTGAGAAACACCCTAGCTGCTTCGTACAACAAGAAATACAGCGTTCTAAGAGGTCTTTAACTTCAAGTTCAATCAGCAGTAACCTGTAAATCCTGCTTTATAGTTTCTGATTCAATCGATGGTTTGTTATACTTTTACTATTGCATCTGCTGTGTCACACTAGCATTTTTTCTTTTTCATGATACATTGATATGGTGGTCCCTGAATATGCTTTGGTTAAGACAGTAATACTTTTCTGTTTTAAAAGAAAGCTAAAATGGTTGCTGATTACTGAGAGGGACCTGTTTCTAAGCAGTCCTGCCCACCTTCTAGAGAATCACTCTGCTGTTTGCCTTAATGAACTGCAACAAAGAAATACTATGCTTTCAAGATGCACAGATAAGAGGAAGTAAAAAAAACTAAAGCAAGAAAATTGGTGGAAAATTATGGTTATGGTTTTGCATGATAGTCCAGCAACTTTTCTGTAAAGCTCACCTGTGTTTGGCACAACCAGCCTCCCTCCATGGTGACCAAACACACCGGTGGTCCTCAGCGGCTCTTTGCAGGAGCTGAAGGGCCCATTGAGGGTAAGCAGGCCCTTCTTCCTTCTGTCCATGGTGCTGCAATAGTCCCGGCTCAGATCTCGCGGGAAGGTCTCGGCTGGGGCTTTGGCGTGGAACTCCGCCCTCTCGGCCACACCTAGTGAAACCATAAAGGAGCTCTGAACTTTGACCTTGATGTCTGGCAGGGGGTCAAAGAGCTCTTTATCTGTGCTGTCCTGGAAGCAGAGGGGAGTGCTGTATGTCCGGCCCACTGTTAAGTCTGGCTGCATGGAGGAGTTGAGAAGCAACGGGTTTCCTACAGAGATGGAAAGACAGCACACAAGTCACCTAGAAGCCCTGCTCACAAGGGACCTGTATTAGGCAGGGAACTCATTTAACTAATGAATCAAAGCCCTACCTAAACAGCACTCACATGGGATAATGAAATTCACTGTTGTCCCAGATACAACTAAAAAAGGCCAAGATTGTACGATTCTGGTATTTTTTAATGCCTTGATTTAGGAAAGCAAAAAAAAAAAAAGAAGAAGAAGAAATTCAAAGATGTTTAAAAGCTGGAAAACATCTTACTTTGCATGGATTAAATATTATCCAGGCTCTCTGTCTGCAGCACAGTGCAGCAGATTACATTCAACTGAGTTGTCATTTCACCAAAAAAAAAAAAAGAACAATATATTAAAATCAGCGTTAATATTTAAAATTACCGTAATACAAATATCTGGATGTCCCCAGATAGCACTGATCCAGGTCAGTTCAGGTTTAAAGGCCACATCGCTTGAAAATTCTTGCAGCTGACCAATGAAATTCCAGCAGCAATTAAAACAACATGCCCGGGCAGGCAGCCGCTACATCAGAGGTAAGGGAGCACAACCTGGACAGAAGGTCCAGGGCTCTGAGCCATGGTCAGAGCGTTAGATTTAATTACCAAGCACACCCACAGCTTGATCTCCATAATCCATCTGCTGGAGTCAGCTCCTCTGGACACCCAGTTGTCCTCCTGAAGGACAGGAGGGAGGGCCACGAGGATCTATGTGACCGCTCTGTAAATGAGGGGAGTCCTTCATCTCCCAGCATGAACCCAGCAGCAGCCTACTGAGGGAGGTGAGAGGGAGGCATCTTCATCTGTGACCATTAGATTTGACGACGCTGCCAAACAGAGCAAGGAGCACGCCGCATCGATTTGGCAGACGTGCCGTGCCCCTCGATGAGCCAGCCAAGATAACAGTGAAGTCATTGAGTCCTTGCTGCCCAGCTGTTGCCAGGCGAGGGGTGCAAAGCAGGAGGCTAATGTTGTTTTATTTTTAGGGAAGTCATTAATTACCTGGTATGTGATTTGTGATGAGCATCTTGGAGTGTGTGTTGCTTTTTCACTTATTCTTTCAAAACTTTATCCCTTATTTTTTCCTTTCACAGTTAAAAGGTTGCTGGTTTAATTCCAGGAGAACATATAAATCCCTTTTAAGATGATGGCAGGAAGGGTAACCCGAGTACCCTGTACCCTGAGCAAAGATGTGTTCACTTGAAAAATTACCACTGTTTTTGTGAAACGTGGTCAGTTCTGTTAGTGTTAGAATATGTTAGTGAATCAGTTTCTGTATCAACAGCTTGTGGTTGCTACACCTACAATGTGCATACTGCCATGTCTCTATTTGTCTTTATAAGGAAACAGGTTGTTGTTAAAGAGAAGCCTGCACTGCTAAGGGGGGAAACAACAAACAAAAATCAAAAAGCAGGAGAAAGTCAGCTGAAAAAACTGAAACAATGAAGTCCAAAAAGAGAGCCAGAAAGCGAGTGTAGGACTGACATAACAAAAAAACAAGAAAAACAAAACAAAAAACACCATCAACCATTTTTTCCCATCTAAAATTTGGCATTTCCATTACCAAAAAACAAGGTCTAATGGGTTGTTTGCACTGTTGGTTTGTTATGTTTTGTTAAATACAAGAAAATGATAGTTTTCCCTCCACAGTTTGAGTATGGTGTCATACTCTCCTCACCATGTGGCAAAAGCATGAACCATGTTCATGAAGTAAATATTACAAAACTATATCAAAATAATATATTGTTACAAAATCCTCAGCAGCTCTTTGAGTGCTCAGATAGAGTAGAAAAGCGCTATATAAGAACCAGTACATTTACCATTTACAGTTCTGCTCACAGCACAGCAGTGTGCCTCTGTGTACCATGTGGAAACCACTGCAGTATACTGTATTAATATCATTGCAGATTTAACATACTTTATCATTCACCACTCTAGTGCCTGCATTCCAGATGACAAAGCACCAGCACATATGATGCAGGTAACATTACCTGGTAATTGCCACTAAAGATGATGTTCTCAAAGAAATTGATAAAAAAAAAAGACGCATTTTTCATTTCAAGTGAACCCACAGGCAGCTCTGCTGATATTCTGGCTCTTGGTCAGAGCCGCACTCTGGTGGACATTACCCCTCTGCAGCTGACATTCGATCACTGCTAAATTTTCTCCCCTCCGGTCGAGTGTAGAATGATCTGATTATCGCTTGAGTGTGCATCTTTAAGAATGGCGCAGCGAAAATGGAATGGCAGTGGTGAGATGAGAGAAGTTAATGAAATGTACCTCAGGTTGAATACCTTGAGGGATAGGTTTGGAATTGGGCTTCTGATTAAAAATCACTCAGAAGGAGAAGTAATGCACAGAGACAGGGTCAGGTCCAAAGACTCATTCTGCACTCTGATAGCAGAGAGCCATCCGAAAGCATTTAAGAACTTCTTTAAAAAAAAATTCTTGCTAGTAATTATTGGGCATGAAAATGCTATTAAGATACAATTAAACAAAAACTTTGTAAGGTCTTTCCATCCTCAAGGAAGCATTTAATTTCTTGCCATGTTTATAAAAAGGATTGTAAAACTTTAACAAGCAGGCCTGTATAAAATGCCTCAACAACTTCCTTCAAAACAAACTGCGGGAAAGAGATGTGGAAGAAGGTGTTCTACATTTCAATAGAAAATGGAAAGGAGTGATTGTGGCTGGTCGAGGGCACAGCAGGCAGGCTGTAAGGAGAACTGGCCTATTTAAATAGGATTAATGACCTGCTGAATGTAGACCTGGTGTTTTGTCTCGCACCTTTCCAATGCCATGACAACGGGTGGGGCTAGACCGGCTCCCTAGGCCTTGGAGGTGCTGTGGGGTAGAGTGTAGGCCCCTAATGGGACTCTTCACGGATGCACTGAGGATGAATCACCTGTCAGCGCCATGGCTATCACATGCACTAACCCAGAAGTGTTAGGAACGGTCATGTGGATGCCTGTAGCGAGGCTGTCTGAGATGGCCACAGTCGTCAACAAAAGTTACCGCTGCACCCAACAGAAATTGAATTGATGTTCACTGTTCCATACCCATCAGTGGCTTAGGCCAGTGTAATCTAATGGAGAATATTGGTTGCCTGACATTCAAATGTGTGGTCTGCAGGGAGGAGGGGTGGTAGCATAGGTGTCTATCAGAGATTGATTATCTACCACTTCACAATAACAGACGAGCAGGTCTGTCAAAATAGAAGGACTAGTTCTTTCGCTGATTATGGAGGGATAAATCCTAAGCAGATAGGGAGGCTGCACACATTCTGCTTGATGCAAACAAATGCCATCAATCATCTGGTGGCCCTGTCAGAAAGGTCTGTGATGATGCTGCTGTTTGGCCTTGTGGTCGCTGTCTCGTGTCAACACGCAGTCGAAGGCACTCTCTTACCTTGTCTGGTGTTCTTGAAGTTGAAAGACTGGAAACCCCCGGTGAGCGCAGAGGAGTCAATAACGTCCACGCCGTACTCGCTGTGATTTTTCCTGTACAGCATGACAGCCACCACAAGGATTGCAACGGTGATTATGCCGGCTCCAAGGCCTGAGTACAGAGCCACATCATTGGAGCTCTCCATACCTGAGACACAAGACACACACAAAAAATGGCTACCTTCAATTCTCTTATTCCTCAAGAAGCACTTCAAGTAATGGCCTAAGGGAATAGGACAAAATAATGGCCAGGCAATCAATGTCCATTTATGTTGCTCAAATTCAACATAATCAGTGCTTTAATTCATTGTTTAGGTACTCTAAACAATGTTTAAAAAGAGCAATACCACTGTGACTGTGGGTCAAGGCTACATTAGATACTGTCCAACACATAACTGAAACAATCTCAAACTCAGTTGTGGGCAGCATAGTTGTATTGTGGGTTCAAAAGATGAGAAATGCTTGGAATACAATGTTCTGCTGCAATAATCTGACACTTTTCCTGTCCAATACTGAATAGGTCAACAAAATTCAACATTTATGGCCAAGCTTCAGTCTAATGGAACTGGAGCTCAGCGTCAGCTATAAAAGTAAACAAATGGAGAAAAATGGGGAAACTACTTTGGTAGTGACAAGTTTAGCAAGAAAATAAGGTTAGGTTAACCGGCTAGCTGCATTGCTGAGTGTTGATGATTTTGTCAACGAATTTACCCAAACCTCAAAACCTAATCTATGTAACTCACTGTAGCTATCCAAATTGAATACTTTATCAATTAACATTAGGAACTGACAATAACCAGACTCTCACAGCTAGCTAGTATTTAGCTACCAGCTGTAGATAGCTTGAATTTTCACAAAATCGTATCTGTAATATAATCATTTAATAGTGTTAAACAAAAATAAGACTAGCATTTAGATTCTGCAAACTATTTTTGCCCTATTATACTGATACTGAGGGATACAGTATGTGCAATGTTCTTCAAGTTGTTGTAGACCTACATTGCACAAGTACACCATGATAGTGTAGATCAGCACCATCTAATATACGTCTTATCACTCTCACTCTTTTATCCGATGTTAGCTTGCAGTGTAGTGCCACAAGCAAGGAACAACAGCTCACTTAACAATTAATACCAAGGTTACCCACAGCTCCTTTAAGACTGTAATGTAAATAATTTTATCAGCCACATTTTATTAATTTGCAGGATATAATTTCAGTTTTAATATTATTTTTCTGTAAATGAATCACTTTACCTAAACAGAAAGAAGCTGACCCAGTGAAAGACTTTTTCCTTAATGTTGTGTAGAAAAGAGCATCGCCTTAGTTGTGATAATAAAGACCCACAGAGAGTGAAGATGAGATGGAGAAAAACAGTGGAGAAAATGATGTTATTATGTGGACATACAAGAGCCAACTCAAGCAAGTTTTGGGTTAGTATGAAAATAAAGCAAGAAGGAGGAAATGAGGTATGACATTCAATATTCACATGGCAGCTAGAGAAGCTACAGTGTTACAGTCAAGTTGATATCAAAAGATATCTACTTGACTGTAGCACTTTAATAGCACTGTAGGTCTTCTTACTCCATCCATAATTTTACTTAAAATATACTTACTATACTAGTAAGTGTCTTACTAGAAATACAATTTCATTATTTATTTATTTATTTATGTATTTAAATTGTTTTGGAGTCGTTAAAAATAACTCACAATTGTCCTCAGATTTTTCAGATTGTCACTACAAGGCTCCTGTTTGAAACTGCTTGGGCTACATGCATCTTGCTTTAGTAATGCTTTACCACTTTGACCCTGATTGTTTTTAATGCTTGATTACAAGTGCCTCTGCATCATATTACAAGTTTCGTTTAACAAATCTGATTTTACTTTGAAAAAGTACCATCAAGTCATCCATTATCTAGAAAATGTGATAAATAAATACTTATATCAACTCCATACTTTACATTCATCATTTTATATTTAGCCAAATGAATCACAATCAAACAAAGAGTGTAGGGTTGAGAAATCAAAGGTTACACACACACACACACACACACACACACACACACACACACACACACACACACACACACCGTTTGTTTACACTATCAGAACAAGACAGTGATAGAAGTGGCGGAAATTAGCAAAATGGTGAGGAGTTCAGTCATTTGGGAGGGGCTCAGAGTAGAGCCGCTACTCACACATTGAAAGGAAACAGCTAAGGCTGTTGCCTTCTGGGTAAAGTTTTCCAACTGGGCATATCTTACTGGGAGGAGGCCTCGGTGTAGGCCTGGGACCCGCTGGAGAGATTACATCTATCAGCTAGCCTGGGAAAACATTTTCCTTGGAAAAGCTGAAGTAGGTGGTGAGAGGGAGGTCTGAGCTTCCCTGCTGCTGCCCCCATGACTTCAGATAAGTGGAAGAAGATGAATGATTTTTTTTTTTAATTTTAGATTTTAATTTTAATTTTGGTGGTTGTCATGAATTTTCAAACAGCCTACATCACTCATAATGCACGACACACTTTTCAGTGTACTTTATTCGTTTTTGTTGTTAATTTGTCATATTTTAGTAATACATGAACTTCTTTTGTAGTAATATTTTTCCATATCATATTCAACCTCGCTTTATTTGAAGTGTTTTTCTTCCTCATTTTCTGGAGTATAACGTGCAATGTTGACAATGCGTGATGTGAGTTGTTGCACATTTAAGCACCATGATTCATTCTTGAAGAATGTGATTAATGGTTTAAAATGCCTTTGTTACTTTTGACATGTTCCTTTAACTTGTTCTGCAATGTAACTTAACATCTGAGTGTTTCTTAGTTTTAGACCAAGTTTGTCGACTGGAACATCCGTAACCACCACAGTCAATTTTCAATCAAACAGTCAAGATGTTATTGAAGTGCAGACTTTTACTTTTAATTTAACAAAAGTATTACACATTAACTGTTAACAATAACAGCCATTTTCAGAGACTCCGTGTAATTGGAATGAAACATATGGAGCTGATCCCAGTTGCTGAAGCTATTCACTGTAACTCTCAATATGAGGTCCCAATAGATATCAGTACAATCGAAGGAGGCCATCATTACATTGCAAAACAAAACAGCGCCATCGGAGCGATAGAAAAAACTTTAAACTGACCAAATAAAAAATCTGGTACATTCCTAAAAAGAATGGATGCAACAACACTAAAAGCCCCAAAGGACCACAGACAACAACTGCAGTGGCCGTTCACAGAGTTCCTTCTTTCGTTAACAACAGTTTCTTCAGAGCATCTAACCAAGTAAAGAGGTAGGATTGTCCAAAGCATATCAAAAGTTGGCTACATGAAGAAAAATATTTGAAGAGATGAAACTAAGATTATCTTGTATCACAATCATGGTAAGAGGACAACATGAAGAAGGAAAGGAGCAGTTTATCACAAACTATTAAATATAGTGGAGGCATGAACGAATGGGCATGTATGACTGCCAGTGGAACACAGCCATTAGTGTTTATTGATAATGTGATTGCTGATAGGCGCAGCATGAATTCTTAAAGGTACAGGGCTATATTCTCTGCTCACGTTCAACCAAATGCTGCTAAAGTAGTCAGACAGCACTCCACAGTACAAATGGACAATGATCCCAAACATATGGCAAAAGCAACCCAAGTTACATGTCAGTCACTTGATTGTAACCCAATAGAGCATGGCTTTCAGTTACTAAAGAAAAAACTAAGAGAGAGAAACCCACGAACAAGCAGCAACTGAAATAACTGCCAGGAGAAAACCATATTTAGTGATATTCACTGGTCTTAGACTAAAGGTAGGGATTAACTACAAGAGATTTTTATAAAGATTAAAAACAAGTCTTTATATTTCAAGTCATGCTTGTTTGTCAAATTGCTTTTGAGACTCTGAGAATGGGGAACTATGTGTAAATATGCTGGTAATTACTAAATAGTTTATGTAAAATTTTTCTTAAAGTTTTGTTAAACTTGAGCTGGAATTTTGTACTTGAACTCTATCTTTATCTTAGTCTTGACCTTAACTTAGTCTGGTTTAAAAACCACCAGGGTGTAGCATATTGGAATTAAACAGAAAGAAAATGTCAGTCAAATACTTACAAACCTAAATTTTGTGACTTTGTGAGAATATGGTGAGAGGAGTAGACCATAATGTTAAACTGTGGCATATTACACTAAAGCTAGTAACAGTGAGAGTGATTAGCCTTACTGTCTTTAGACCTATTGGTTTATGTCCAATAGCTGTGATGGATATCTCACAGGAAAGGCAATCAGACCCCATACAGTGATTGCTTGCCACATATAAGCTTTATGCAATCCCCATTCAATCATTTAAGCTTTTGTAGTAGGCACAACTTTCATGTTGAAGTGGCAGCCTAATGGAGCTACAATAACACCTGACAATCACTTACTTGGACTAACTCTGGCAAGTGATTGAAAGCCACCACAGGAATGCAAGGACAGCGCTGTAAATTGCTCAAATTAGCTCATTTGCAATGATTACAACTCATTAATCCTCCACAACATAGCACATGTTCACTTGTCACAACCAATATATCTCATGGCTCAAAGTAGAAACACAGCTGTGATGTCACGGTTGTCATAAAAGTTCAGCACTGAATAATGACATGAATTTGTAATGAGCATTTGCTGGGTTAACACCAGAGCTGCTTAGATCAAGGTGAACTAAATACTGTAATTCATAATTTGTCCATTTCCAGAGTATATGCTAAGAGAATGCAAAGGACTGTCACTCCTCTAGTTTGCCTATAGCATTTCTTGCGCTCAAAATTAAGGGCATATAACATATCAATGGCAGGTGGGAGGGCAGGGGAGTAGAAGATGAAAGAAATCCACAGTGGAAGACTCACTTTGAGGTTTAACGTCATGTAGCAGCTTTCGATCTGCAAAGACAGAGAGATAGAATGAGACAAAGAGGAGAGAAAGTGGTGATTAAAGTCTGAGCCTCTGTGAAGTGACTATGAAATGTGGTCTCAGATCCAACACCCTGAACAGAGGGAAGCTCTTCTACTGACTGTACTTACAAACGATATATTGGATCTCATAATGGCCTGGAAGGTTTTAATATAGTTATCAAAGCATCACAGATAAAGAAGGTGAGGTATAGATTGTATAAACTCATCTCTGAGTGAACTAATGATCTCTAATGTTTGAGGACTGAGTCGTAATTTTCTACCAGACTACACTGATCACCCATAACATTAAGACCACTGTCTAACTGTCTAAAATGATTATCTTATTGCATTGCAGTGTTCTGTTGCCTTCCCCAAACTGACAACAACATTCTTTTGGGGGATACAATTTACCAAATGCACGCTGCACAAAAAAACTGCTCAGAATCCACCAAGAACACAAAAGGAGGCCTATTGTGAGCTTTTGCAGGATGCACTGGAACAAGCCAGGTCCACTCAGGCTTCACTCCCACCAGACCCAAAGGAACTCACTGAATTCAGGTGTTACAATCGTTTCCATGGCTGCAGGTGTAAAACAAAATCAAACACCAGGCATTCAGGCAGCTTCTACAAACATTTTTAAAAGAATGGGTCACTCTACAGAGTGGTACCATAATAGGATGTCACCTATGCAACAAGTCCAGTTTTGAAATTTTCTCACTTCTAAATTTTCCACAGTCAACTGTTAGTGGTACTGGGAATAACAGCAAGTCAACCACGAAGTTGTAGGCCATGTAAAATCACAGAGAGGGGTCGGCAGATGATGAGGAGCAGACTGAGCAGAGGTCGCCAACTTTCCGCAGAGTCAATCGCTACAAACCTCACAAACTTCATGTGGCCTTCAGATTCGTTCAAGAACAGTCAGTAGAGACCTTCAGAATGCATTTCTATGGCTAAGCTGTTGCATCCAGGACTTGCAACACAAAGCGCAATGCAAAGCTTCAGCTGCAGTTGTGTAAAGCACATCGCCACTGGACCCTAGAACAGTAAAGACACATTCTCTAGAGTGAGGAATCACGCTTCTCTGTCAGGCATTCTCATGGATGGTGGTTGCCAGGAGAACAGTAGATGTAAGATTGCAGTGTGCCAAGTGTAAAGTTTGGTGGAGGGGGGGATTGTGGTCTGGGGTTATTTTTTAGGAGCTGGGCTCAGCTCCTTAGTTCCAGTGCAAGGAACTCTTAATGCTTCAACATACCAAGATATTTTGGACAATTTCATGCTCCCAACTTTGTGGGAATAGTTTGAGAATGGCTCCTTTCTGTTCCAAGATGACTGCAAACCAGTGCACAAAGCAAGGTGCATAAATGAGTGACTATGATTTGTGAGTCCTGAACGCAAAGCAATAAAACACCTTTGGGAAAAATTAGAGCGGATACTGTGAGCCCAGCTTTCTTATCCACGGCACAAACATGCTTCTGGAAGAATGGTTAAAAATTTCCATAAACACACTCCTAAACCTTGTAGAATGCAATTATTTCTTTGTTGTAACTGTGCTTATTGTCAGTAAATCTTATAGAGTTGGAAAGACTTCTTATTTCCCCTAAATGGTGCCACATTTGTAAGGAAAATGCATTTCTGGGTAAAGCAGCAGAGTTGACTATGTGGGTTGTGCCTATGAAAACCTGCCAATCTCTGCCAATGCCAAACAGCTTATTCTGCTACTGACTCTTCTTTTGAAGATGCCAGGGACATCGCGAAGTGGGTGTCCCCAGGAGAGTACACCACAAGAAGAATCTTCCACAGTTTTGCAGTAAAGGTTTGCAGGAGGGTATGGACAAAAGCTCTCTACCCAGACAAGTAGAGGAGGATGGACTGGCCTATAGTCTTCACTTCAACCCCATTGAACACTTGTAGGATCAGCTATGTATGTTGTTGATGTCAGAGTGACCAGCACAACTGACATGACTGACTGATGACAAACACTGGTTGAAAAATGAGATGCTATTCCACAGCTGGTGACCAGCATGAGGAGGAAGTGCCGGGCTATTGTGGTTATAAATGGTTTCTCCACATCCAAAGGAGGCCCCTGCTTGATAAATGAATGAATGATTAAACTGCCAGTATGTCTGGTTTCTTCAGACTTCTTAACAAATCCCATACACAGCACCAAACAAGACTTAATAGCAGAAATAGTTCTCTGGCATTAGCAGAGAGCATTTGGTCTCTTATTCGTGGGTGCAACCCGCAGACTCAACTCTGCTGCTAAGCCCACAAATGCAATTTCCTTACAATTGTGGCACCAAAAAACAGGTGGTTGCTTTTCTTGCCAAGAAAAGTTAGTACAACAAAAGAAGAAATGAAATGTACTAAGTTTATATGTATGTTTATATCATGCTTATTTATGATAGCAGCAAATAGCCAGAGTACTTAAAAAAAACAAAAAAACCCCAAATTAAATAAATAAAAAGTACTCTGAAAGTTTTTAGTGATGTACTTGCACAAAGAAAGGTTCCTGTATCATAATATGTTTATATAGTCCATTTTACAATGATGCTAACTCACACTTTGGCAATTGTTTTTGGCTGTTGTTACACTGGAGCTGCCAAGTTGACTGATAGAAAAAAGCTACAGTGTTTTTCAGTGTTAAGATTGAGTGTAAACATTTACAAGCAATCCAAGTCAAGCTGGTATTAATGAATGTATCTCGATTTATCTACTATGTTTCTCCAATATCTGTTTTCAAACATAAAAAAACTGATAAAAGCTAAGGATCTGTGGTAGAATGGACCAAATGAACAGAAGTCATGCAATAGTCTGCGTAAAGCTGAATTAGCATTACTTGCACACTTGTGCATAGAAGCAAGGTTTAGATTTATTAATTACATTTACAGCTTATTTAACTTGTTACTGGGACCAGCTCATTTGATTTTAAATCACTTCATACCAAAATAATAATGAAATTATATTTCACACATCAAACATTATTTGAAAGTAGTGACTGGCTGACTCATGACAGGTCAAGGGAGCAGTGTACAGAAGAAAGAGTGGTGACATTATCATGGACTGGGAATCTGTGTCAGTCCACACTGTGGCTTCTTTTTCAATTCACACCTCCTCTTCAAGCACGCTTGCGATGACTTGCCATGTTATAGTAAGTGTATATATGATAATGATAATGTTGGGGAAAAAAAATAGAAAAATGATGATGACAGTAGAGAGAAAGGCCTTACTCTGGGTACACAGTCCATCTGTGCAGTTCTCAGTGGCCTCACTGTTCCCTTCGCACATTTTGCCTCGGTGTCTGGGTATTGGGGAGTTGCATTCCCGAGTTCGCTGCCTCTCACACTGACTGCTGCACACTGTCCACTGGCTCCACTCATTCCAGCCTCCATCAACTACAATATAGGGATGTAGATATCACAGAAGGGTTAGCACAAAGGCAAAACAGAAAGACAAAGACTGGCACCATCCCACATCAGTGATTGACGGTAAAAACTTTCAGTGCAATCACCAGTGACAAGTTACAATGTACTTTGATTAATATTAAGATTAGATGTCTTAAGTGATTTCAATAAATGGTATATTTCAAATTAATGGCATATAATGTGCATCCTAATTAACTTTAATAAATAATACATATATAATATAAACAGTGCACTCGTGCCATTTTGGTAGGAGTTTAATTGGTTCACAATAAAAACCTTGTTAAGAAGTGAAGGGTTTCAGTCTATGCTAGGGGGCTATTTCTTTGAAACGGTAAGAGTCAAATAATGCAGTAACATTAATGGAATCAAAATGAGGCTGCATAATAAAATTGTTCCTGGAGTTCCTGAAACAGCCTAATTATCATTAGAAAAAAGACAGGGAAAAACATTGTTATACACGCTCAATCAAAGGACTTCTAAATACTGAAGAACTCAAGGGACTTTCATAGAGTACTTTTTGAGACAGTTCACAGTTTATGCAGGCTTATGATGCTTTAAACTGATTTTCTTTCTTTACACATTAAAACCACTTACACCTAAACTTTAAAATTGATCATCTTATTACACTCCAATGTTCTGTTGTCTCCCCAAAGAGGCAACAGCACTCCCTTGGCAGGGCAATGTACCGCACAACAGCAAAAAAAATCTGTTCTGAATCAGCCAGTAGAATACAACAAGCCCACAGTAAGATGAGCATTTGCAAATTTTAATTAAGAGGTCACAATAATAAATACAGATACAGCTTTAGATTTTTATAGGTTTTTATTAAAGTGTGGTATAATAATATAGCATAATAGGTTTCTTGCCATAGCACCATTAGATACTGTTGGGAATACTTTATGACACTATTTTAATAGTCTCAGGTAGAGGAGCAGCAGCAGAAAACAGCTGCTTATTCTACATATTTTTAGAATTCTTCTTCATTCTAATTACTTACTAGTTACTCTTAGCATCTAGTTACTGGGCCACTGAGGGCATGTGTCCTTAACTGACAAATCAATGTGTATTACCAGAAAGCTAGGATTTCACTTGGGACATATTATCAATACTGTATTTATTAAAATGCAGATTCAATTTTTTGTTTGTTTGTCTGCAAAAAGGGGCAAACGGATTGATTCAGTCCTATTTGTTGAGGACTCACTACTATGTTCCAGGCCAAATTGCCAACCAACTTTCCTAAAAATATGTTTCTGAAGAAATAAGCTAAATAAGCTACATTCTCAATGACATTGTTTGGTTAAAAAAAAGTGTCTTAAATACATTTGACAATACTGAACAATATTTGCCATTTATGCGTTGGTTTATTAGTTATATTGATGATCACGTCTTCCCACGTCATGTCTTTGCTATGTATGTGTGGCCTGGGGGGTGTCCAATTTCACTGCAGGTGTAAACATTGTATGTGACAAATGAAAGGCTCAATCGATTGATTGATTACTTCTTATTTTTGATTAATATTTCTTTTTTTCAGAAAGTAGAGTCCATGCTATGGACTTTTTGAGGACTCTGCTCAGTAAAATAAATGATAGTAGATAAATATAGTCTGCTATAAAGAAAATAGGAAGTGACACATCCCTCGCCTGCCATCAAGCTCATCTTCTCTCTCATTTGGAAAGAAAGCATATTGAACAAAATGTCCATCTTTCTTTAAGATAAAGACTAATTTTCCCTTTGGTAAAACACATACACAAATTTAAAAATGTACATGTTTATACAGCAAGCTCAACTAAACACATGGATTCAGTATGATGCACAAATACAAGTGCTGGTCTGTTGGTACAGCTTGAGAGAGACACTTTCTCCCCATTAACCCCAAGGCCTGTTTATATAATGGAGTTTCATGCAAGGCTATGAAACCAAGGCAGCCTGGTGCATGCTAATAGATGGGATTCTTCCACCATGCTCTGTCATCTGATCAAGGAGGGTCTCATCATGCTTAGCTTAACAAATACAGGGAGACCATATGGCGCCTGAAGATTTTTTGGCAGCAGCGGCGATACCCATAATACAGTCTTGTGGGCGATGAAGAAGGTAATTTTCCTTTGTGAAGTTCCACAGGCCCTACCTACACACTGCAATTGTTTGTGGGTTTTTCTCACCTACTTGTAATGCAAACAAGGTGTTTGTATGTTGGGGAGAGAATGCTGAGTGCTTCTGAGTTTGACCACAAACACTAGTCATTGTTTGCGTATTGTTTCCCCTATGACTTCTTGCTCTGATTCTGTTGAATGAGCTCATTTGCCAACTGGTAAACAATAGAGAGAGTTTGACAAACTGTAGCACTTGCAACATTTTGGCTTCATAACTTGCCCTTTCTGGTAATTTTATGTTGTTTTTCTGCAATGTCTAGTTTCTTAAATTGGCTACATATAAATTCTCATTCATTTTGTTTTGGTGATATTTTTAGAGCATACGTGTCCCTTTCTTTTTCAGTTTTATCAGATCTTCTGGTTGAACTTAATTACAAACACAACACAACATTTTCTTTCATTGAAACAGTTCTGTGTTTATCAGAAGCAAGCAACTTTTGAAGTTTTTATGAACCGGCAGTAGATTTAGCTTCTATCATATTACATAAACAGACAATATATAATACATTGATGTATAAATATTTTGTGTTCAGTAACTTGGATTTTAAACCCTGCAGTGGCAGCAGACTTTCAAAGCACGTTTGAAGAGAGATCATTTCTTAAATTTATTTTATTTTACAGTCAGGGAAAACAGTGGCTGGAATAACCAAAATGACTGTGACTGTTTGAATTTCTGATCTCATTGCCTTAGAAATGATTGCTTTAAAGACATAGACCAGGTCTATGACCACTCGTCTAAAAAACGGGATAAGAGGGAGTCAGTAGACTATGATGTAGTTGCTGAAGGATTGCAACTTGTGCAAAATGAGATGGCACTCAGTAAACATACTTTTAAATAGAAATTTAACCAGAATGCAACCAGCTGAGATGACTCCCCTACTGGAGAGACAATCACTGACGAGTTGGGCTCATTAGAAAAGTACAGATTGATTGCAGTGTGTTGGCAGTCTTTCTGTCTTTTTAAATTAACAACTAACCAGGCAACCTTCGTGATTAGTTTGCAATCAAAGGTGGTTGTCGAGAGGCCGAGGGTGCTGCAAGCCCAACCACTGGTGACAGTAAAAACTTTCAGTGCAATCGACGGGAAACAACAAATTTTGACTACTTGTAGTGAGGTTGCTGTCCTATTTTTACTCTAGTGTGTGAGCCATTAGGTACACCACCATAGTGAAAGTACCAAAGTATTAGCATCACTGGTTCACTTTGCAAATTTTTTATAATACAGAGGAAAAAGAGAGAAAAAGGCATGTATGTAACACTGTCTGACATTTAAGAAATTACAGTCACTGCTTGTGCCCGTTACAAGATAAGCTCACAAATTGCTGGTTTTCTGCTTAGTCAATGACGGATGTGAAAATTATACTCATGCAACATTACACTTGTCTGGGCCAAGAAGTGATGTGTCAGACATCTTCTGCTAAATAATACAGTAATGTCCTAAGTGTTTACTTTGTTAGCAGCAAGTACTTAATGTTCCCTAATATTGGCTAACTATGAAAACTTGCAGGACACACCAAACCAAATGAGACCCAGGAGTGATAAAAAGATGCAAGGAGATATTCTAATGACTTAGAAATGTATCTTGTAACTTAGAACTAAAATAATGATTTATATTTCTTTGAAATGATAAGGTTTGTCTTTAATTTGCCAAAAGTCACTGGCAAAAAGGGATTTTACTTTGATTTCATGTTATAGTAATTTTTGTGGAAGAATTCAGCAGTTTACAGCTGAATTTGTTGTGTGTCTCTTTGCCTCACATGACTAGTGTCTTTTCTAACTTGGAGAGGCTTTTTGAGTTGTCCTTGCTGGGCCACAGCTTCCCAGGTACAATGCTCAGAGCCTTCTGGTATTACAGCCATCTCCACAGTGCAGTTGGGGTCTGTCTTTGGGATTTTATTACCAGATCAACTTTTCTTCAGAGGAGAGCCTAGGGGATCCAGATACTCTCTATTCACACCATGTAACCACACATGTGTGTCTTTTTAGCTGGGTGTACATGCGCATTATTTCTAGGATTGTGATGTTTGGCACTTTGTCCCATCAGATAATGTTCTGGATGCACTGGAGGTAGCACGTGTTATTTGTTTTTATCCAGTGCAGAACATTTCAGGACCCTCTGGTTTAGAGGAAGTGCATGGATAGAATAATTAGGCAGAGGCACTGGTATGAAGAGAATGGGAGAGTTAATTCCAGTTTGTATTGTATATGTATTGTTATTGGGTTTTTTTGGACTTCTTTCAAGTTTCAGCAGCCATATTGTTAACATGGTTAGCATTATAAGCTTACCTTTTTCAGGTAACTTATGGTAATGTAGGGAAGTTTTATATTGTTATTTAGCTGTTTTTTTTTTATTTTACACTTCCAAAATAAACATCAGAAATTATAAGACAGGTTTTCCTTAAAGAAAATGCATGACTGCATATACTGCTCCAAAAGATATATAATGGTGATTACAGATTGACAAGGTACAACACAAACTCTATGGGAAGGGGTAGCCAGGATGTCAGGTCAGAGGGGAGATACTGTCATCCCCACCCTCAGAGAATGGGTAAACAAGCACCAAGAAAAATAACACCAGCTACTGATTGATGGAGATGTCTGTGAAGGTTCTCAGTCATCCAGGTCATCGTAGTCAAAGGAGCTTGCAAAGAAAAGCGTCTGGACTTCTTTAAGTTGCTTGAAGACGTTTCAC